GTATGATATTTTCAATTTCTATAGTGAAATCGTGTACTGCTATTGTAAGTTTTGCAGCACAGGATTTTATGTGGATCTACAGTGTGAACTCATTTGGGTTATCCCAACTGTGGGGAATGGCTTGGGATCCAGGAGCCAGCACTGTGATACATGAGATATGGTTGATCACTTCAGCCTGTGAAAGTTGAGGGGTCATGGGCCTGCCAGGAGGTTTGTGTGAGACCTGTGTGTATTTGTGTGTGTCTTAGAGCCCTGGGACTTATCAAGTGTGGATCTATGCCCATATTGCACGCTTTCTGGTAGGAACAGCAGTGAAGAGACACCATCATGTGTTCCTGGCCCGTTGCAGTAGAGACTTTAGGGAGCAGAAAGCTAGAAATACAAGTCAAACAGGTACCACTGCCAGGTAGTCCTTATTGATGGGAAACGAGATGGTGAAGGGTGCAGAGGCTGCACTGTCTCCTCCCATCTTGGTGCCTGTTCTCTCTGCAGGTGATAGTCTGAGTCTGAGTTGCCTATGCCCACCTCCATCTGCTTGGTGAAGTCTTTGATTTTGTCCCACTGTCTGGGGCTATGTGAGTTGGCTGAAGTCTGGAACACAGGGATTTTTTTCCTGGCTTCCCTGGTAGCACTCCTCTTGCTGTGTTGTCTGGAAGTGGTGAGAGCAGGCATCCTTGACTTGTTTTTGTTGTCATGGAGACAGCCTTTCATCCTTCAGTGTAGCCTTCAGTGTAGGCTTTGAAGATCTCTGGCACTTTTTAAGGTGTTTCATTTTATTACAGTTAGGTTTGCATCCTTATGTCAGAAGGAGTTGAGCTTTGTCAGAAGGAGCTGAGCTTTGTCAGCTGTTTTTTCTTCATTCTTTCAAGTTTTCAACTCCTTTCCAGATGCACAATGTGCAGGTATTTTCTACAATTCCTTCCAGTGCCATTTCACCTGTTGACGGTGTCCTATGAAGGACAACATTTTCCTTTCTAATGCTGATTCACTTTTAAGTTGCACATGTGGATGAGGTGCAGTGAGCTGGTTATATACCTGTTTCGTTGCATCTTAATCAGATCAGGGCACTAGCTCTTCCATTCCTAACATTTATCATTTCTTAGGGTCAGTGGACTGCTCCCCAGCTTTATTATGAAAACCACAATGACATGTTGTGCACTATGGCCACCTACTCTGCTGGAGAGCAGAAGTGCTGGCTCCTCCTGAGTGGACTCTGGTACCTGATACCCAGCCCTGCTGTCCCCTCTCCTCTCTCCTCCTCATCTCTGGTGAATACCCTTGTACTTTCTGTGAAGCCAACTTGGAGCTTTGCTGTATAAGAACACACAGTCGGTGTCTCTCTCTCTTTTCCTGACTTATTTCACTTAAGATAGTATTCAATAGTCCGGGCTTCGTTGCTGCAAATGAAAGGACTAAAAGCTATTTTTGGTGAAATTAGGTTTATCTATTATTTTCATGAATCAAATGGATGCTACTATATCCCAGAAATCATCCCCAAATCCAGTGTTGTGAGACATGTGGTCTGCATTTTCTTCTCTAAGAATTGGTGAGGTTCACATCTTACTTCAGGACTTTGGTCCCCATGGATCTCATGTATGCGTGTGCTGTGAGGGGAGCATCTGACTTTAGGTGCTGCCATGAACATCCAGTTTCCCATCCATTCATTCTCCAGAGATCCTGGTCCCCTGGAATGACCCTGGCCCCTTGAGAGACATCATTTCCTTCTGTGTATCTGCATGGTCCTGGGTCCCCCGTCCTCCTTCACTGCTCTGTGTGTCTGCCTTTAAACTAGTTCTACACTCCCTTTGTTACTCCTTTAAAGCAGGTTTTGAAATCACTTTACACTTTATTTTTCTTCTTCCATTGTTGAGTTTCTTTCAATTCCACGTGAATCTTAGAATAGTACTTCTTATTTTGTATAAAAATGTCACTGATAGTATGAAAGGCAGTGAATTGACCTCATGGTTGATTTTTAGGCAGATTTACAATTCTTTGAGCTCACAAATGCTAGATATTTTTATGTGTGTCATTTCTTTCAGAAATATTTTGTGGTTTTTGTAAAGTCTTCTTGGTAATTTCTAAATACTTTTACTCTTGATCTTCTGTGATGGCTTTCAGGTTGCTCGTGTTTTAGTGGATGTAAGTGTGTTGTGTTTATTGTGGTGGTGTACAGCTTGGCTTTATTTTTTAGTTCCAGGCATTTGCGTTTTCTTCTTCAGCGCATGCACAGTTTAGAATTTTCTACTTACGAGATCATTTCATGGCTTTGTTTCTAAGAGCCTCAGCCGTTCCTCCTCCCTGACCTAGGCAGGAAGATTAGGGGGAGCTGGGCTCAGTGTTTCTTTTTCCCCACAAGTTTTTGCTGATAATGTCTTGGGTGACTCAGCCTTGGAGAAGTAGTTTCCTTTGAATGTAGGCTCAGGAAGATAGAGTTCTCTGGGTGTGCTGGAAATGGCTCCTTTTCCTCCCAGTGCTGGCAGCAAAGGGCAGTTTTTTGTGATCTTGACTGTATGAGCCTGGCAGCAGTTCAGGAGGTAAGACGTGAATTTGTGAGGACCCCTAAGAATACACAGAAAAAGTCTCTGGGCTGCAGGTCATGGTAAATTTCAGGTGTGAGGAAATACCACTAGAGGGGCAGCCGTCCTGCTCTCCCCACTACCCACATCCTGCCTGACTGAGGGACGCTGGGCCTGCAGTGGGTGTCAGTGCTCATCTGCTTGGCCTTCTCCTGGGCTTCTCTTCACCCAGAGGTGGTCCTTTCTCCATAGGCAGCTTTCACCTTCTATCCCACGTCTGGCTATTTCCCATTTGAGTCATATGTTGATTATTCTCACTCTGGGCCCTGGTGTGTGTGTGCACGTGCTCCATCTCTCCGTGTCTCTGTCTCTGTCTCTGTCTCTCTGTCTCTCTCTCTCTATCTCTCTCTCTACCAGGGTTTGAACTTAGGGGCGCTTAACCACTGAGCCACATCCCCAGCTTCTTCTAATATTTTATTTAGAGCCAGGTTGTTGCCCATTTGCTCGGGGCTTTGCTACGTTGCTGAGGCTGGCTTTGATCCTGCATTCGATTGTCCTGCCTCAGCCCCCTGAGCCGCGTGCTCGGCACCCTAACTCTCTGTGTCACATATTGTAGGTGTCTCCCCTCTTGCAGGTGTTTTCATCTTTTTATTCCTCTAATTTTAATGTTTGAATTTCTCATTCTTCATTATTGCTTACTCTTGTTATGTGAAAATGTTTTCCCTATTCCTCTAGGAAAATATTTCCTGTAAGCTTCTGAAAGTGTTTTAGTTTTGTATTTCACATCAGAATCTGTAATGAATTTATATTTTGTCTATGGAATGGAGGGAAGTAATGCATTTTTTAAATATTAGATACCAGTTTGTCTTGACTCATCTTCTGAATTGCTTGTGAATGTCTCCATTTGTATACCTTACCTGTTATGTTATTACTCATCTATATGAATTCCAAGGCACTGATTTTTTTTTCTTTTGTTCTCTCGGTTTATTGCTCTGCTAATTCTATGCTGTTTCCAATAGTATATCTTAGATGTTCTTTATTTAATATAGTCACAATGTTTAAGTGACACCAGACTATAAATAAAGAACATCTAAGATATACTATTGGAAATAGCATAGGATTAGCAGAGAGATAATTAGATAATTAATCAGAAGAAATTATCAACTTAAAAATTCATTTTCTTTCTCACCATTGCACAAACACCAAAGTGTGTTTACACAGTCCTAGAAGGAATAGCCTATTACAGACCTAGGCTCTGTGGAGACGGTGCTTCCCAGGTACAGCCTTGCACAGCATCTTACGTAACAAGATACCAAAGGTGATCATGCAGTATGTTTGTTTGTACCACCATCACTATAAACACATCAGTTATCCCTTTACTACTGATAACCATGTATATGTAGCCCATTATTAACCCCAAATGTCTTTGACCAAAACATAGTCATGTGGCACATGAGTGTATATTGGAAAAGCCAACAGTCTGCTGTCTACCACAGTTGGATAGGTGTTACACATTTCTTATTTTCATTTGGCTTGGAAAAGTACTTTCTGGTGATTACTAGAAATTCTGTTTGTTAAATGTCAGTAAAAGTATTTGACACTTATCCAACTGTATCTTGATATTAATCAGAAGAAATTATCAAATTGTTTATTTATCACTGTTGTTGCTTACTAGTTGATTAAATTTGATGTTGAGTAAAGCACCTTAAATTCTACTTATTCTTTTGCTGTAGTCACACAGGATGAGCTCAATCCCCAGTTACCATATTGTGAGTACCTGGATGAAATGCGGTCTACTAGGGCAGTTCCTAGACTCTTTGCTCAGAGGATTCTGTTTTGGTAGGAAGGATTTTGAATTTTTTAAGTTCTAACATAATATTGGAGCAAAATCATAGAATTTCCAAAGGAAAGCAAAGTTTCATTAAATACACTCTTACACTGTGATTCAGCCTTACTGCTTAGTTCGTTGGGATCCCTCTCCATCCTTAGTTCCCCTTCCAGCAAAGATGCAACTTTTGTCAGTAGGCATTTCTTACAGTAGGTACTATCAGGACTAATATTAACTCTCTTCTGCACATGAGGTAGTATGGCTTCATTATATCGCTCAGTTGGTAGAATGTTTGCCTGGCATGCATAGTGACCTGGGTTCAATCCCCAGCACCCCCAAAAAAGGAAAAAAAAATGATGTGCAGACATGCACCCTTTGAAGACATTATGGGTGACCCAGGAGCATACCTTACTCTTTGTTCTCCACAAGAAGAAGAGTATTTTTGCTCTGCTCTTAATTTTCTAAGTACTTTCATTCTTATATAAGAATTATTCTGTTTGAAGACTGAGTACGGATAGAGAATACAAGTTTTGATGACCAAGTAATGAAAGAGATATTGGAGGCCACAAAATCATATGAACATCTTGCATGTAGAGAGTAGATTCTTCATGCTGTCAATCTCTCCTGGCCTGCACTGTACTTTTGTAATATTTTAGACCTCAGTGGCCTTTGAGGATGTGGCTGTTAACTTCACCCAGGAAGAGTGGGCTTTGTTGGATCCTTCCCAGAAGAATCTCCACAGGGATGTGATGCAGGAAGTCCTTAGAAATCTGGCTTCTATAGGTAAGAATGATAACATTTATTTACATAATCAAATGCAGATTATGTGAACTTTTATTTTTCTTCTCACAAGTTAAGAATGTGTACTTTACTCTGGGAGCAAATGAGGCCAGATGTCATTGCACTTAGCAGTATGATTCCTATGATTTAGTCTTTTTTTTTTCTTTTTTCTTTTTTTGTGTGTACTGGGAATTGAACTCCAGGGGCTCGACCAGTGAGCCACAGTCCCAGCCCTATTTTGTACTTTATTTACAGAAAGGGTCTCACTGAGTTGCTAAGTGCCTTGCTTCTGCTGAGGCTGGCTTTGAACTTGTGATTCTCCTGCCTCAGCCTCCCATGCCACTGGGATTACAGGTGTGCACCACTGCCGGGGTTGTAATTTATTCTTAAACTACATTAATTCATAATGATTATTCTGGGCCAACATTTTAGGAAACAAATGGGTGGACCAGAACGTTGAAGAACAGAACACAATTCCTGGGAGAGATCTAAGGTAATTTATGCTCCCAAGAGGAAGCAGAATCCCTTAAGGGAACTGTGCATGTCTTATAACTTAAAGAACTAGCTAACAAATCAATTAAACGCAAATGAAATATTTTTATTCCTGGAAATTTTGTATTGGAAATGTGAATTTTAAGGAATAGGATTGAATTTTAGTATGTTCAGTATAATTGATATGCTGCCAGTACTATTTGCTGCATTTGTGATACTACTCTTTCAGTAGTACCTGTGGGGAATCAGGGTTGCAGACTAATCAGTGCATTTACCTTCAAAGTTTAGACATGACTGTAAATCCGGACTCCCTGATGTTAGTAATGATATACTTCTAAGGCTTATTAATAAATACAAAAGAAATAAAGAGCCAACCCTTAATATTGCTTGTAACTTTTTATAGAAATCATTGTTTGCTCTGGAAAATTAAAATTAGGTACTCAGTGTGGAAAAACCTTCAGTGAGATTTCAAATTTACTTTAAAAAAGGATATTCCTACTAGAGTAAGTCCATGTGAAAGCAACTGTGTAGACACATCTTCCTGTTACTTTTTATTTTAATAGCCACATCATTCCATCTGAGAATGAGGAGAGTAGAAGGAAGCCATCTGAACTTAAACAGAAGAGAAAATCTTTAACTTCTCTCACAAGTATTCAAAGACAAGTAGCAGTGCACACCGTAAGTGGACCTTATAAATGTTTGACATGCGGAAAAGAGTTCAGTTGTTCCAGGTCTTTTCGAAAACATGGACAGTCTCACTCAGGAGAGAAACCATATGGATGTGAACAATGTGGGAAAGCCTTCTCTTGTTACTTTTTCCTTCAAACACATGAACGAACTCATACTGGAGAGAAGCCCTATGAATGTAAACAATGTGGGAAAGCCTTCACTAGTTCCTCTTACCTTCCAATACATGAAAGAACCCATACAGGAGAGAAGCCCTATGAATGTAAACAGTGTGGGAAAGCCTTCATAAGTTCTGCTTACCTTCAAATACATAAACGGATTCATACAGGAGAGAAGCCCTATGAATGTAAACAATGTGGGAAAGCTTTTAATAAGTACAGTAATCTTCACACACATGAACAAACTCATACAGGAGAGAAGCCCTATCAGTGTAAACAGTGTGGGAAAGCCTTCACTAGTTCCAATTACCTTCTATTACATGAAAGAACTCATACAGGAGAGAAGCCCTATCACTGTAAACAATGTGGGAAAGCCTTCACCAAGTCCAGTCACCTCCACACACATGAGCGAACTCATACTGGAGAGAAGCCCTATCAATGTAAACAATGTGGGAAAGCCTTTGCTACATCCACTCACCTCCACACACATGAACGAACTCATACTGGAGAGAAGCCCTATCAGTGTAAACAGTGTGGTAAAACCTTCACTAGTTCCAATTACCTTCCAGTACACGAACGAACTCACACTGGAGAGAAGCCTTATGAATGCAAGGAGTGTGGTAAAGTTTTCATTAGTTCCGCTTACCTTCAAATACATGAGCGAACTCATACTGGAGAGAAGCCCTATCAATGTAAACAGTGTGGCAAAGCCTTCAATACAGTTGGTCATCTTCATAAACATGAACGAACTCATACTGGGGAGAAACCCTTTGAGTGTAAACAATGTGGAAAATCCTTTACTAGTTCTTCTTACCTTCAAATACATCAACGAATTCATACTGGAGAGAAGCCCTATGARTGTAAACAATGTGGGAAAGCCTTCACTACATCCAGTCACCTCCACAAACATCACCGAAGTCATACTGGTGAGAAGCCCTATCAATGTATACAGTGTGGGAAAGCCTTCACTAATTCCACTCACCTTCATGCACATGAGCGAACTCATACTGGAGAGAAGCCCTATCAATGTAAACAATGTGGGAAAGCCTTCATTAGTTCTGCTAACCTTCAAACACATGAACAAACTCATACTGGAGAGAGGCCTTACCAATGTAAGGAATGTGGGAAAGCCTTCAGTAGTTCTGCTTACCTTCAAATACATGAACGAACTCATACTGGAGAGAAGCCCTATGAATGTAAACAATGTGAGAAAACCTTCATTAGTTCTGCTTACCTTCAAAAACATGAACGAATTCACACTGGAGAGAAGCCCTATGAGTGTAAACAGTGTGGGAAAGCCTACACAACATCTAGTCACCTTCACACACATAAACGGACGCATACTGGAGAGAGGCCCTATGAATGTAAACAGTGTGGAAAAGCCTTTGCTAGGTCCACTCACCTTCATACACATGAACGGACTCATACAGGAGAGAAACCCTATCAGTGTAAACACTGTGGAAAAGCTTTCACTAAGTCCAGCAACCTTCACATACATGAACAAACTCACACTGGATAGAAGTTCTGTGAATATAAACAGTGTGGTGAAACCTTCAGTTATTCATCTGCTTAGACAACGAATAAACTCATACTGAAGAGAAGTCCTACAAATGAAACTGGTAAAACCTTCAGTAGGCCCATTCACCTTCAAAAATATGAACAAACTCATAAGGGAAAGAAGCCCTGTGTTTGTAAATGGGGTAATAAAGTCTTTATTTCAAAGCATCAACTCATACTAGACGGAAACCCTATTAGAGGAAAGAATGGAAAATGCCTTACATTATTAGTTCCCATTGTACGCATGAAAAAATTTGTGCTGGAGAAAAGGCCTTGAATGCAAAAAAAAAAAAAAGAGTAGCAAATCATTTAATATTTCTAGTCACCTTCAATGACAAGAAAGGACTCACACTACAACAAATCTGAATGAGTATATGTAAGTTCTTAGTTGCCTTCAGAACCATTTTGCTTGCTCTGGCAAATAAACCTCCTGAATGTGTGACATTCCATTTTCCTTCCTATGCATGAAAGTACTCATAATGGAGAAAAAGCCTTGAATGTGAAAAAGGTCTGATTTCCCAGTTTTTTTGAAAGACAAAAGACAAAAAAACAAAACAAAACAAAAAACGGTGAAAACCCTATGCAAGTAATGGATCTTATAATGGCATCTGGTGTTCCAGTTTTCTTCATGTTACTCAACCTTCTATTGCTGTGTCAAAACACGAGAAATTCAAGTTAAGGGGAGAAGATTTCCTTTGGCTCACAGATCGCAGGTTTCAGTTCATCTTGGGGTGGCTCTTTGGTTTGGTCCGAGATGACTTAGAACACATTGTTGGAAGAGCAGAGCAGAGCTGCGTACGTAATGGCAGCAGGGAAAAGAGAGAGTGGAGGAGGAGGGCACCAGCAGCCAGATACCCAGTGACTGTTTCTGTTTAAGGTTCCTGTTTTCATAAGTTGTCTAAGTGCAATGGTTAAAAAAAAAATTAGGCAGAAATAAATGTGACACATGCTTATGAATTATGTGATTTATAGGTCTCATATATATATATATATGTTTATGTATCATAATATATTTCATTTATTTCTGAGTTAAAATACTGAATGTTTAACTGTTATCATGAGGTTGAAATTTATCCATTCTAGTTTTTTGTTTGTTTTGTTGGTTGGTTTGTTTTAATTTTGTGATAACAAAAAAGATTTGAATCTGGGGCTGGGGCTGTAGCTCAACAGTAGCACACTTGCCTGGCATGTGTGAGACACAGGATTTGATTATGAGCACCATAAACAAATAAATAAAATTATAAAGGTTTGCAACAACTACTTAAAATGTTTCTCTTTTTTTTTTTTAAAAAAAAATTGAATCTATTATTACTTGTGTCTGTTTTCACTTTAAAAATTGTTATGGGAGTGCATAGGGTCCTAGAATTACATATCCTTAAATTTTTGGTATAAGACAAACTTTTAAAGTTTTGCCATTTTGTAGGTTTTCACTACAAGTGAGAGTTGCTGAGACTTAGAATTTCTAATTGATGTGTATGATTTTCTATACAAATTGTATGAGCATATAAAGTTGTGTTGATGCAACTATTACAAATATGAACAATTTTTAAAAATTCAAAGATTTTATGATATGGATATAAAAATAAAAAAGCAGAAGGAAAAGAGTGAAGTGAGAGGTCTAAAGGAATATGTAACTATGAGCATGTTCTTATAAGATCTATTCATTTGATGAAACAGGTTTTTTTTTTTTTTAAGAAAATTGGGTGGTAGAATCAGATTTTCTCTTAAAGTAGAACTGTGGGTCGGGGCTGGAGCTGGAGCACAGTGGGAAAGCCCTGGCCTGGCATCTGTAAGGCTCCACCATGTGTGGTTCAATCCTCAGCACCACATAAAAATAGATAAAGATACTTTGTGTTCATCTGCAACTAAATAGATACTAAAAAAAAAAAAAAAATTGAAAAGTAGGATGGTGGATTATTCCTGAATGAGCTGTGGGCACTACGGGGCAGATCTGCTGGATTAAGCAAGTTATAGATCCAAATAAGTCATAAAACTTTAGAGGAAATTTCGAAGTATTCATGCAACATGAATTTTGTAAAAGGAATTTTCTTAGTAGCCATGTTGACTCTAAGTTAGAGGAAATTATATCTAGATTTTTCTAAAAATTTGAGCATTAATATTTTATATAAATCAGAATGTAATTCACTATACTAAAAATCACATAAGTTTTCTAGACCTAGTGTTAGGGGGAAAAAGGATGGAAGATGTTTTTTAATTTGTATTTTTTTAAATTTCTGAAAGTTTTTTTTTGTTTGTTTGTTTTTAAATATTCAACCATGTCCTGGACAGTAGTTTTACAGTTTAGAGTAATATTTTCCTTCAATATAATCTGATTTTTCTTAATGTGTCTGTATTGTTCAGGGTAACTGGACAACTTTATTCGTTTTTGTTGTTGCTGTTGTCTTGCTTTTTGTTTTTGTACCAGGGATTGAACTCTGGGGCACTTGGCCACTGAGCCACTTTCCTGGCCCTATTTTGTATTTTATGTAGAGATAGGTCTCACTGAGTTGCTTAGTGCCTTGCTATTGCTGAAGCTGGCTTTGAACTCATGAAACTCCCGCCTCAGCCTCCCAAGCCACTGGTATTACAGGTGTTGCCATCACGTCTGGCCAACTTTGCTTCAATTTTTTCTAAGAGTCACATATGCCCTGTTCAATGCAATGATTTTCTTATATAACTCATAAACTTGGGCACAAATTCTTCTAGTATCTAATCAAGTTTAAATTACTTAATGTGATTCAGCTTTCAGGTTATCAGTGGGCTTCTTGTAAAGAAAATCGCCCATATTGCAGGAAGTGTTTCTGTACCTTTTGTAATTGTCCTAGGAAAACAAAGCTTTTATTTTCTTTCAAAATAATATCTTGTTTGCTTTATTATTTTAATTTCTATTATTTAGCAATATGAGTCTTGAAATAGTTAAATTTAGGGTTTTATTTTCTTTTGCATTTATTTTCTTTTAAAGTTTTTCAGTTGTTACTGCCTTTGAATGAATATGATTTCTCAATGGTTAGTGTTTTAACTACATTTTAAAACTGTTTCAACATCTTTGGCAGGACTTCCCCAGAATCCAAGTTCTAAATTAAGATTTTTTTTTTAACTTAAATTTGGGATATTGCTGAGACCCCTAGATCTTCTCAAATGTTTATTTTATAAAAAAGGGAAATATTAAACTAATCAGGCTAATTTGATGTGTTGAATTGTATATGAACATTTTCAAATTATATAGTAATCATAAATCCTTTAAAAGTCATATTGATATGGATATGGTGTCAATGTGAGTATGTTGGAGAGTACCTGAAGTTTCTAAATGACTGTTGGTCCTGGCCTGATGTTATTATTTGGAAATGATGCATACAAAGGAAATAATTGAATTGTATCTTAATTATGAAATTTCATCCAATTTTTAACTATATATGTTCTAAGTCATTGTTATAAATAAAGTTGTTATTTTGCTTTGTCTCTATATATAAACTTTGAAATCAGATTCATGGAAATGATTGACAAGTATGCTTTCATACAGGTTTCTGATCATCTTAAGACCCATGGCCTGAAAAAATATTTTCATTACTTTAATAAAGAAACTGAGTAACTAAAATTTTTAGATTAGAAAACAGAACAAGAATTAATTATATGACACCAAATTAACTGATCATTGTATCTATATGAGTTTTATGTGAAACATTATTTTTTATGTAAATGTGTTTGTTTTCAAGATTTAGGAAAACATTTTCTCAGGCTGTCTGGAGTCTGCAGCAATTTGCTGAGTGCTGTGATCTGGGTGTGGAGTAGGCATGTCTCTAAAGGTCCTAGTTTGGCCTCTTGGTCCCAGTGTGGTGACATGGGAGGTGGTGAAACCTTTAGAGGGTCCCAGTGTTGTGATATGGGAGGTGGTGATACCTTTACTAGTTAGAGGTGCTTAGACGTTTGGTGCTGTGCCCTTGCAGGGATTAGGCCTTACGTGAGGGACCCTGATTCATGCTCATGAGGGGATTGGTACAGGAGCGAGAGCCTGGCTCCCCCCCCCCCCCCCCGGCTCATCTGGCTTTCTGGTTGGTGAGGTGACCTGTTTCCCACAAGAGCTCCCAACATTGCCATTGACCAGGGTGCAATGCAGCCCACATGGCTGGGCCAGAGCAAGCAGCATGCTCTCAAACTCTCTCAACTGTGAACTAATGAACTTCTCTGACATATGGAGAGTGAATAGAGAACATGGTGCCAAGGAGGAGGCTCCTTAATCAGACTACCTGAGGGCGGGAGGCAGCTTTGGAGTTAGGGACCAGGCAGAGGTTACAAGAGTCTGGAGATGCAGGTAGAAAAACCCTGGTGTGTTCCAAGCAGATGGTTATAGGTGGCCCTGGGGAGGGCTCAGAAGATGATCAGACCAGGTCCAAGACCTTAGAGTTTGGAGGAGGGGAGGAGAGCAGATTGTGATGGGAGTGAGGGCTCTGCTGGAAACTGAGCCAAAGACCCCCTGGTTTCACCATGGCAGAGAATCTGCCTGCATTGTGCCCATGGCCTGAGGCACTAAGACATCAAAGGAGAGGTCAGAGCAGGAAAGCATTCTGGCCACAGCCTGGGCACCATTTGTTGTGTTTACTGTGAAATGCAGGAACAAAGGAGAGCAGAGCAGAGTCTGAGCTGAGCTCTCACTCCACATGTGGTCCCACCATCACCAGCCACTGTGATGTTCTGCCACCAAGAACCCTGACCAGAACTCAGCAATGCCAGTGCCTTGCCTCTGGACCTGAGAAATGGACCTGAACAAACCTTTTTTTCCTGTAAAGTAACCTTGCATGCGGCATTTTATTATAGCATCCAGCACAGCAGCTATGATTGTGAACCAAAGTGGAAATGTTTACTTTTCCACCATGCTTGATACTCCAAAATTCAAAAACTAAAAACAAATTCAAAGTATTCTTACTTTTTTGGCAATGTGGTTACTTACAAGAGAATTTCCTCTTTATAACAGGGTAAAATTGAAAACAATTATTTTAAAGAAATTTTCAGTGGGATGTCATTTAAATTATTTATAGATACAGAGGACAAGACTAAAATCTGTCTTGGTATACAGCTTTTTAGGCTGAATTTTATTTTTCTTTTCATGATGCTGGGGATCAAACCCAGGACCTTTTTGTGAGGCAAGCACTCTATCAACTAAGCTATATCCCTAGCCAGTCTGAAAATATATTTTTTCAAGACCAATCTGATATGTAAGTATTCTCCAAGCTTCTATGCAAATAATCTGGTAAAACTTGATAAAACTGATTTTGCAAACAAATTGGTTTTTTCTGTGAATATTTTGTGTATACTGGCTTGATGGTATAGAGAAAATTATTTTCAAAGAAAAACTATAACACCCATTGTGGTTAGTGACACTACTCATTGTTTTCAAATTTATAATACATGTGTATAGATTTGCCTAGATGTGAAATTTTTCTCATCCCCTCTAATGTAGCTACACATGTCTCACTTTGTCCCCTGGGTTCTTTCTGTTCATATAGGTTGCCTTGAATCAGAACAACTGCACTAACTGAACTGTTATCCTCCTTTTGTTTTTATTCTATATTTTTTCCTTAAAAACTTTGTACCTATTTTCTACCAAACTTCTGCAGAAGTTCAGCTGCTAACAGCATAATGCTAGCCAGGTTCCTTCAGTTTCTCACCAGTGTCCATCAGAGAGACAAGATTGAATGCAACCTTGGTCTCCAGGAAAGCAGCCTGAGCCACTCCTTCCAGGTCCCTTGCTGTGCCGGTGTGGCTTGGATCTAGACACTGAGTCCTAGTTGACAGTGACTTGTCTCTGAAATAGGACCAGACCAACCACTGGGCAGGTCCATCCTGGCACTGGGAGACAACCAGAACCAGAGAAAACACGGCTGAATGACAAGGATCTTACAGAAAGATCTTCATCAAAGGCGGAGGTAGGAATGCTGTCTGCTTAAGATGGAGTCACTTGTCTCAACCCCTGCAAAAATAAATAAAGTCAGGAGGCTGTGAAAGAAGGAATCCCATGCACTTATGTCTGATAATAACTGTCAACGAGAGACTGTCAGGACCACAACCTTGCACAAACCCTGCTGCAAACACCTGCATTTATATATCATCACCGTATCTGGAAATGATAAGAGATCAAAAATAAAAGGCATTTGGGCTTTTTTCTTGCATCTCAGCATCATCTCTTCATTTTGAAAACGTCTCTTGATTTGAAAGTTGTTATTCTCTTTCCTTTACCTCATATAATCATGTCTTTTTCAAAGCTCAGAGCCCCAGGGACCACCATAGGGATGATATTCGAGAGGGTTAAATCTCATTAATCACTATGAGAAAGGAAGCAGTATTAACTCCTTAAATCAGTGAGAAACTGAGTGTTAACAAAGTGACCATTGTCTCTCAGATAGGATGTGGGATAGGAATTTTTTAAAATATTTTTTTAAATGTTGATGGACCTTTATTTTATTCATTTATTTATATGTGGTGCTGAGGATTGAAACTGAGGGCCTCACACATGCTAGACAACTGCTCTCTACCACTGAGCTCTCTACCACTGAACCACAACTCCAGCCCCAGGATATGAATCTTGAGCCCGAAATTCCAAAGTCTTAAACTAATTCCTACGTCTACTGTCCTTAGTAATAACAGGACAAGCAAACAACAGCAACAGCAGAGGCTGTGGCTCTAGTCAAAAGAATTTGTGTGTAGAGCAGTTTGTATAGATCAATTACTGAAAGGGAAAAACTCCCAATAACCATTTCTCACAAGAAGGAGAACACCACCAACCTCCTAGGTTTCCTTCTTATATCCCCTTCCAAGTTACTTTTCTGTCCTCCCCAAAAGTATACATTTTCTAACTTTTGAGTGAACATTGCTTCTTTTTAAACATTCGAATGAAATAATACAAAATATTCTTTCGTTTGTTTATTATGTCTATTTTATATATATTTTGAATGTGATTGCTGTATTATATTCCATTTAAAGATATATAATGCATTTTGTTTATTTTATGATATTCATTCTTTGTTGTTTCCTGTTTGGAGAAGTGCCAAGTATTGTTGGTGTGAGATGTCCTTGGCATGGTGAACCTGTTGAGGCATTTCTGCTGCTCACGTAGCTGAGTGGAACCACTGGTGCACGGTGTGGGGGTCCTTCTCTGGCACATACTGCCTAGGATCTGTGAAGAGGGTTGTAGCAGCATGAGCACAGCAGTGCATGAGGGTTCCCCTTGCCCTGTGTCCTCACAGCATTTATATTGTCAGTGGATTTCACATTAGCCATTGCGTAATGGCATTACATGCTAGTTGGAATTTGGATTCTACTCAAGAGTAACAATGTAGAACATGTTTCCATCATTCTTGGCCATTGTTTCTTTTAATGAAGCACCTAGTCTAATTTTTGCCCATTTTGTTTATGTTTTTCTTACTGTTTTTTTTTTTTTTTAATTTCTTATTTAGAGAGCAGGGGTACATGTTCCATACACTCTTCAGGTCTGATTTGGAATCGATATCCTGATATCGATATCCTTGATATCCTGGGCCCTGCTCCTCCATCCTCACTTGGGCCCATGTTCTTCTCCACTTTTCCATGGGAGAACACTCGTTTAGAGAAGGGAACTATAAATATGGGATAGAGAAGGAGAAGCAAGATTTAAATCACTAGAGAATAAGACAAAAGAGGTCAAAGGCAACCCTTCTAAGGGCTAGTTCATCCATCCTCCTAACAACATTCCCAGAGGGTACTGACAGGAGCAGGAGGGTCCACGAGTTCCCCGGGTTCTTCTTGTGCCCTAGCAAAAGAGAGACAGAACTGGGTTTCTAGTGTCTACTTCCATGGAAACCTGAAACTAAGATGAGCATATACACCCTGATATAGACAGGGCTGCAGGAGATGAAGCTGTAGGTGCCTCCTGTACAAACTGGAGTGGGTTGTTACATGGGTATCATGTGACCATAAGTGAGGACCACTTTTCTCCATTGAGAACCCACTGTGCTCTGATTCCCTAAAAAGAGTGAGGCTCTGGTGAGACAGATTGCCAGAGCTCTTCCAGGCTCCATAACTGTGAAATAAATGTCTGCTATTTGTAAATCATGTAGGCTACAGCACTTGGTTTCAGCAGCCAGAGTAAACTGAGACCAAAGTGATACCTCAGCATTTGTGCCATTGAGAAGTGAGTCACTGACCACTTGGTGTCATGAGCCACTGGGGAGGCTGCCTACCATACAGCCTACAAAGACACATGGGTCAGATTCAAACTATAGGGAGATGCATTGGAAATTTTATTGCTAGAGTATGACAATATCTGTATTTCATCTAATTTCAACCTACATCTCACTGATGCAGAAAGGAAAATAAAACCCAGAAGGGAAGTGATCTGTCCAAGATCACACAGTTGGAACCAGGGTGGTTAATTTATTCCCTACTTCCTTCCACTGTCTTGAAGTTCTTTATCTCTAACATTGTGAGTTGTCTAGTGTAACACCAAACCATGAGATTTAAATTTCATCTAATGGACACTTGAATTCCCTAGGAAGTCATTCACACTGTGGTCCCCTTCATACACGCTTGAGAAATTCACACAGACCAAGCCTCATTAGTGGCTCACAGGGAGGGCCACCCAGTTACAGCTCTGGGTGGCTCTCAGCATGGTTGCTGTGGAGCATACACTGGGCACTCACAGGTCTGTTTTCTGTCTACGCTGGGGATGGCTTCAAGAACTCAAGTGTTATGAGGCTCTTCATGATGACTTTGAATACTGGTAAGTGCTGTTGATACACAGCTAACAAAACACTTTGAAAATACTAATTGTTTTTTCGTCCTCTGTTCCACACATCAGATTTTATTTTGAATTTTTTTTTCACCTTGTCCTTCACATACACAAATAGGAAATGTTGAGCCTTACTCGTTTGAATCCTGATCCTCATCCTCTTGTGGCTCATGGCGTTGTCACTAACTCTGTGTGCCTCTTGATCCTCTCCAGTGTGAAGCAAGTCTTCCATGAACCTGTAAAAGATCTGCATGGTGTGACCTTCCAGCCAGGCACAAGGAGACTTTGGTAGACTGGCTGGAACCATCAATTATGGTTTGGATGTGAGGTGTCCCCCAAAAGCTCACATGTAAGAAAATGCAAGAAGGTTTGGAGGAGGAATTAACTTAGTGAGTTAATCCCTGATGGGATTAATTAGTGACTGGAGGTAGGTGGGGTGTGGCTGGAGAAAGTGGTTCAATGGAGACATGGCTATGGGGGATATATTTATATCTGAAGAGTGGAGTCTCTCTTTACTTTCTGATCATCTTGTAAGCTGCTTCCCTCTGCCACACTCTTCCACCATGATGTACTTCCTCACCTCGGGCCCCAAGGAATGGAGCTGGTCTTCTATGGACTAAGACCTCTGAAATCATGAGCCCTCAAATAAATTTTCTTCCTATACAACTGTTTTGGTTTGTTCCTTTGGGCCCCGCAGTGAAAAAGCTGACTAAAACACCAAGATAGGACCATCTTCAATTCCTTCCTTTGCTCACACAGGGCTTCATCACCGTCCCGTGTTCACCAGACCAGCACTTCAGTGGATGAAGTGATAGTAGTGACTGCCACCTTGTTACAGTGTAGATGTTAGGTGTGTCCTCCCAATGCTCATGTGTGACAGTACAAGAAAGTTTAGAGGTGAAATGAGTGGGTTTCTGAGAGCCTTCACCCAATCAGCAAATTAATCCCTGATAGGGATTAATGGGTGGTAACTGTAGGCTGGTAAACTGTGGCTGGAGGAGTTGGGTCATGGGAGACATGGTTTTGAGTATGTATTTGTTGAGCTGAGGCTTAGTTTCTCTTTGCTTTGTGATCATGCCTTGACCTGATTTTCTCCATGACATTCTTCCACCATGATGTTCTGCCTTACTTTGAGCACTAAGGAATGTAACCAGCCGTCTATGGATTGAGACTTCTAAAACAACGAGCCCCCAGCTTTTTGTCCTTTAAAATTGTTACCACATCTTTTGGTCACAGCAGCAAAAAACCTGACTAAAGCTCACCTATTCTCCATATGATGGGATTGTCATTGTTGCTGTCTGACCATCAGTGTGCTCTTGTGAAATGTGTATTGGTACAGGACAAACTTATTTTGAGTTTTTAAATGCACAAAATAGAATAAGACGTGACAAGCAGGGAGCAAAGTGCCTGGCTTTGTGGGAAGGGCTGCTGGATGTATTATGGATAGGTATACTTATATTTTCTATACTTCCTTTAAAAAGTTCTCTGCCTAATAGTCCATGAATATCAATGTTTTAAAAATACACAAAAGCCTGTTTTCTCAGGTGTAAAAAGGGGGAGGGGGATGGGGGTGGGGGGAGGTAGGCTGATTAGAACTGGTGGGAACCAGCTGTGGCTGGACTCTGACCTCCCACTGTCAGCTCCAGAGTCAACCAACCCAGACCCAAGTTAGAGGCTGCTACACCTCAGCCCTTGATGCCTTCAGGACATGGTGTGGGCTGGTCCATGGTAGGTTCCCAGTGTGCTGCAATCCCATGACTAGACAGGTCAAACTGTCTGTCTCTTGGAGAAGTGTGGGAAGGCAAAAGGTAAGAGGCGGCAGAATGGGAAGTGGAAAGAGATGGGGGGAGCGTCCACTGACTATGCCCCTCCCTGACTCAGGGGCCAGTACAGTGGGATGGAGTCTTTAAAGGATTTGTCTTTTGAGGCAGCATCAGAGTAAATGTCTCTGTTCTTATGGGACAATTATTCTCAATTATTCTGAGGAATAATTGAGAATAATATTGGGGTAGGGTATTGGAGAAAATTTTTGACAATCTCAAATCTGGGCAGCAGGTGGAGGGATGGTGTGGACATTATTCATATATGTGAGCTGGTTTTCAATTTCCTGGTGTGATCACTGAGCTTAGAGCAATGGAGAACAATATCTCAGAAGATGAGACCCACATCCAAATCCTGAATGCTACTTGCTCAAACCATGGATTCTGGTTTGTATGCTAACTTCATTCCTGTATATTCAAAGGCAAACTACTGTAAACAAAAATTGCATTTGGGGATGAGCAACAAGGAATTTGTTGAGGGACTAAATATGCTGTATGATCAGATGATTCATTTAATCCACATTTCAGTAATTTATTAACATGAAAAATGAATCATTAGGTTTGAAATGAGCTAACTACTGAAGAAATAATAATACTTTACTTAGTTTAAGAAATTTGTAAAGTAAATCTCAGAAATTTGAGGATATAATGTTCTTAAAACATGAACACATTCAACCAGAGAAGTGAGACAAACCAATGGATCAGAATAGAATTCAAAGAGACAAACCCACACAGATTGTTATTTGATCCTGTACAAGTATGCCAAATGCATTAGAAAAAGGACATCCTTTATTAAAAAACAAAACCAAAACTATGCTTAGGAAACTTGTTATTATCCATTTGTAGATCCCTGTCTCTGACTTGTACAGAGTGAATTCAAAATGGATGAAAGGCCTATCAATTAGATGATAAACTATGTAATTCCTAGGAGAAAAGAATCAACTCTTAACAGAGTTGCAAGGAACAATTTTCTCAGATTTCTAAATTTCTCTTTATTCAGAGATGGTGTCAATAGGTCAAATACCTGCTGTGGTTCATTTTTGGGTGGGTGGGGGGTGGTGCCTATTGGCTAAAGGAAGGGTCTATGTTTTATTGCTGATTCATTAGGGTGGCACTGTAGTGTGGATAGGGAATTTCCTGTGGCTTGTGTTGAGGTTAGCTGACCTATTAGGGTGGAGTGGTCAGGTGTGAGTTCCTTTTGTGTTCATTCCCTTTGTCTGAGGTCTGGGCTTTTAAATGACATAAGCTTCAATTTTACCCCAGAGAAGGCAGGTGTGGGAACAGCTGCAGAGGAGGGGATGTATCCTTGGACTTATTCTCCATATCCTTCAAGAAGTATACCTTTATTTATTTATTTATGGCACTGGGGATTGAACTCAGTGCCACTGTCATGATGGGTGAAAGGTGCGACTTATGCAGTTGAGGAGGAGAAATAAAGAATGTCCACTGCTTCTGCCCTTTTTAATGCTTTATTCACTCAAATCACTCAATACAATTTCACTCCATAGGTTCTTAATCAAGAAAATGACAATCCTTAATGCTAGGCACTGCAATAGACATAATCAATTCAAAGCAAACAATTCTAAACACTGCAAACACACCTCATCACGGCAGACTTATTACAGACATTCCCCCTGTGTGCTAAGCTTGAGTGTCAGATCAAAAGTCTGAAGCCTTAGGCTTTAAGTCCAGAAGACGTACTCACTCAGACAACAGTGATCAGGTCACGAACCAAGGCAAGCTTCTCCTGGGGTGGAGCTGATGGCTGCCTGAGGAGGCGGTCACAGGGAGGTGTCCTTTTCTCACCAGAGTCCAGAGACTGCTGTAGAGTTTGAGAGAGGTGAGAATAATGCAGAAGATCAGGCAGATGAGAAGAGCTGGGATGTCAGTCCAGGTCCTCATCAGGCTCTCAGACTTGTGTGCATCAGTGTCAGCTGGCTGAACGTCTGTTCATTTGCTCCATCATTTATACAAAGTTTTGGGGCTTTTGACCATCTGTCAATCCCTATCAGCTGCTACAGGATTTCTCAGTGATGTCATTCCTCCTGAGGTTAAAGCATCTGGTCTGGTGGTCCCCACCCTGATATTCTTGCTTCTTGCTCATATCAGGCAGAGGGCAACATGCCAAAGAGTTCACTCTGAGTTTGTCAGGGTGGGGAGAAGTGACTTGTTTGGGTCTGAGGGCCATACAGGAGAGCTCCATAGGTGTGCTGGTGAGACTGCAGGTTTCAAACTAGAGTTTTAAAATGGAGTTGCCTAGGCTAAGGCCTAAGGCCATCCTTACAGCCACTCAGCCCCTGAGCCACATCCCCAGCCCTATTGTATTTTATTTAGAGACAGGGTTTCACTGAGTTGCTTAGGGCCTCACTTTTGCTGAGGCTGGCTTTGAACTCTCAATCCTGTCTCAGCTTCCTGAGCTGCTGGGATTCCAGGTGTGGGGGCCTCTGCACAGGGCAGTACCTATACCTTTAAACTTTGGAGGTCAACAGTGGATACAGCTGAAGATTTAGGGTTCCCGTTGTAAGGTCCTTGCTTAGCACCTGACGTGACAGCCACCACGTTAAGAAAAAGTTTCCTTCCCACCCGAAAAAGGCTCACCACCCGCTAACACTACCCCACCCTCCACCGCCCACATTCCTTCCAGCCCGAGGGCGATCAGCACTCCCCCATTCCAGCCCCACCCTTCACCGCGCGGGAGCACCCGCCCAGCTCGGATCCTCGAGCTTGCCCCCCAGAAGTCCCCAACCCCAGCTGCGTCCTCCCAGTCCGTGGGGAGGTGGCCTTCATTTGTCAGCGCTGACAAACACGCTCCGTCGGAGTCGGCCCGGTCTCGTCTTTCATTGCTCGCTCGCCCTGCCCGGTCCCTCGCCTCCCTTTCGAGTCGGCAGGGAACAGACGCCAGCTGGCTAAATGGGAAGCTCTCAGTGGGACAGCTGCGGACTGGGCGGGCGCCGCGGAGCAGCCCAGGGCGCTCCTCAGATCCACCCTTCCACGCCCGGTGGGATCCCAGAGCTACTGCCGCGCTCAGGTCCCGGCACTGCAGGGAAGTCCCGTCTGGAAAGGGGGCTGGACCAAGAACCTGTCATTCGGGCCGAGTACAGCACCGATTGGGTGACGTAAGTTGTCACTCAAGACTAGGGCGGTGCGCGGAGCCTGGCAATCAGGGGCGCCGGGGAGGAACTATCCAATGAGGTGCGCAGAAGGTGGGGAGGGGTGGGCTTCCGCATTCTCGCGGGGTTTTCCTCCTTGCTCGCTGAGTTCTTCGCCCACTGCTTCCGCGTCTTCTTCCCGAATCCCCAGGTCCTCTGCTTAGCCTGAGTCCCCGACGAGCTCGGGTACCCGGGATATTCCTCCGGAGGACGGCGGGTCACCCTGGTGGCCCAAAACGGTGAGTGTGCGGCCAGGACTGGCGAGACCCGGTCACCACCTGCCTTGGGGACCCGAGTGGTGTGAGCTACGGAGCGTGGGGCGGATTCCCCACTGTCGGGTGGCCCTGGGCCCGCGGGATGAGTTGGATGACAGGTCCCTGAGGTTAGCTGCGGAGCGTGCTCGAGTCTGCGTTGGCGGGTGGCCCTGGATCCTGGGTCTGCGGGTGAGTTTGGTGGCGTGTCCCTGAGGTAAACTGCAGAGCGCGGCCGAGTTCTCTGTGGCAGGTCGCCCTGGGCCCCTGTCCCATGGGTGGGCTGGGCAACAGATCCTTGTCCTCTGTTTCTCCTCCCTGTTGGCGACATCCCTGGGTCAGCTCTGGCCAGCTCATGTGGCCTGATGCTCCCAGGGTGTGTGGTGAGCAGGGGAGGGTGTCAGGGTTCTGGACTCAGTTGTGTTCTGTGTTAGCCTTAGGGGTCCCTGTCTGTCCCTGTTTCTCCCCAGGATTAACCTGTGCGTCCTACAGACACATACTCCTAAATGTGCAGGAAACAGGGTATCAAGTCCATTTTCCATTCAAAGCCTGGCTCCTTCCAAGACTGGCAGCAGAAACCTGAAATTCCAGTTCCCTCCCGCATTCCCAGATGCCAGCTGCACCCTCCAGTGCACGCTTTGCCAACTATTTGTTTCATAGTGTTTTAATTGTGGTAGTTTCTCCTATTAATGAATGGCACGTTTAAAATATTTTATTTTAAAAATATGGGTAAACATTTCCCAGGAGTGGAAAACAGAGAGGAATTACCTGGAACTTGTTTTTAAAAGGTACTTATGCCTCCCTTTGTCTTGACCGTGCCTTGTCTTTGGGCATAGGTGTCCTTTGGCCACCACATTGTGACCTATGTGTTCAATCACTGCCCTGTTCTTTTCTGGTGTTGCTGCAAGTTGCCCACAGCTACCCTGTGCCCTGCAGGGTGCAGGCAATTTCAGACCTTGGGTCACCTCCTCCTACAGTGCAGCCTGAGGTGTGGGGTGCAGCCTCTCAGGGGAGCAGCTGGAGATATCCAGGTCTGGCAGTGAGATGCTGGTGTTCAGGTAACATGACAGACATGGTTCCTGCCCTCCGGATGCACTCAGAGCTTTGAAGGAAAACAGTTATCCCAAAGAGCAGGGGAAACTGATCCCAGCAAGGTGGAACAAAATGCTACAAAGCTCTTCAGCAGCAGGTGGGGGTTGGGAGGATGTGCCTGGTGACAAATGGCCTGACCTGAAGCTAGAGTCTAACAGGTCAGTGTCCAGTGGTGCTGCAGCTCCCTGGGTTTGTTGCCTTGGAAAGACTTGCCCACTTATTTTAGGGTCAGTTTTTCAGTAATTGTAAAGTGTAGCTTATTAGTAGAGCTGATTAGAAAATATTTCCAAAGGATAAGCTAGAGGTATAAGGCAGGGGGGGGAAGATAGAAAAAAACAGAAAACACACAAATATTAGGTCTTATATTCCCCCTCTCTAAAAGTTTTTACGTACTGTTTTTCTTCCCCAGAGTGAGTTTACTGCGTTTCTTGGATGACTTCTGTTTTTTTTGCAGGGGAGCATGTTGCAAATTTAAATTAGAACTGCAGGCCTTTGCTTTGGGAATGATACCTGGGAATAGAATCAGTGAAAACCTCTGTTTCAGTGTGGTTGCAGAAATGCATGCATTTCCAGATGAAAGTGTGGTAGAGAAATTGGTATATACATATATATGTATATATGTATATATCAATTTGTTGTATATATATATATTTTTTTTTTAAGTTGTAGATGGGCACAGTATCTTAATTTATTTTAGTGTGGTGCTGAGGATCGAACCCAGTGCCTTACACTTGCAAGGCAGTGCTTCCCCACTGTGCTACAATCCCAGCCCCAAGAAGTTGGTATCTTTATCACAAAGATTCAACCTCACTATTTTGCTGAAGGCCTTGCTAATTGCTGAGGCTGGTTTTGAACTTGGGTTCTTATGTCGTCCTCTGGAGTCACTGGGATTACAGGCCTGCACTATAGCACCTGGCTAGTCAAAAATTTTTATGTACATTTTTTTTCTCCCTTTAGATGTGTTCTTTTTTGCAATGGGGATGGAAGAGTGGTTTAAAATATAATTCCAGGGCTTGGCCTTTTGGATGCTACCTGGGAAAAGAAACAGGGAAGATTTCTTCTAATATGGTTGCAGAAAGTGAGTATATTTCCCCAACCCATTGTGGTAGATGAATTGGCTCATTACAGAGATTCACCAAAATATCCACTCCTGTAGTTTGCAGTGGTTTGGCAGTGGATGGGTCTGTTCTGTACCCTGTGAACTGCAGGTGAATGTTTAACACTGATTCTGTTGACCAAAACTAGTTAATTCCTAATAATAGTCACCTGTGATGATTATCAAATATTATCTTGGATATAGCATTGAGTAACATGTTTATTGTCTGAAAAGGAATAATTTTGATTTTCCTGTTGAAGTATTTAAATGTGAGTGTTTAAAATTGTTCCTCTGATAAACACAGACATAAAGTTTGAGTGATTTTACTGGGTTCTCTAAACACCAAATCTCTTCTGATTAAAAACTTGACTGAGGGGCTGGGAGTTGTGGCTTAGCAGTAGAGCACTCACCCTGCATATATGAGGCCCCTGGGTTCGATCCTCAGCACCACATAAAAATAAATAAATAAATAAATAAATGTTTAAAAAAAAAGAAAAGAAAACTTAACTGAGAAGAAGAGATCCTTGATCCCAGTGACTGTAACTCAAGGCCAGACTTCCTTCTGCAAAAGGAGGTCATTGAAGGTCCAGTCAGAGCTTTCTGGGCAGCCTTTCCTGCAGAGGCCCAGGCTGCTCACACCAACCCTGGAAGGCTCCCTTATACAGAAAAACTACAGAGCTCTGGAAAGCTGGGGATCCTCAGGCAGATGTGGTGGGGCACCACATGGGAAGGCTAAAGGGAGCCCCTTTCTGAGGGTGCATATTGATCCCAGAGTGTGCAATGAAACAAGTGCAGATTTGGGTGAGAAGCAACTTATCTAAAGGAGCAGGAGGGGGGAAAACCACAGGTGAGCTCTGCAAGCACCCACAGCTCCTGCAGAAAAGGGCTGCGTCGTAGAGAGGGGCAAACAGGGTTAGGAAGAAGCTGGAGGGGAGGACAGCGAGGAGTCAGCCTGTTCTTAAGAGGCACCAGGAAGAAGGGTCCTATGTTGTCTCCAGGTGCCAGTGGGTCAGAGTTCAGGGTCCTGGAGGAAGGAGGGAAACTTAAGTCAAGTTTGATTAACAAGTATTTGTTCTGATTCCTGAAGAGAAAACTGTTCCCCTAATTGCTTATGAGGGGGAAAAAATAGGGGAGGGATTTTTAGTATCAGAGGGTGTCTTCATGGGGCTGAGATTGTGGCTCAGTGGTAGAGTGCTGCCTGGCACTTGTGAGGCAGTGTGTTCGATCCTCAACACCACATAAAAATAAATAAATAAAATATATATTTTTTTTTTTAAAGAAGGGGAGCATCTTCAAAGTCAGGATGGGAAAGGGGTCTCTGTGCAGAATTGCTATAGCAGAATGCAGAGGAAGAGATTTTCTTCATTCATAGATCTTTCCCAGAATTCTCTTTGACTCTTCCATTTTTTTTACATATCTTTTTATTTTGGCCAATCCTAAGCTGTATCCTTTATAGTAAGCTGAATGTAAGCAATGTGCTTTGCTAAAATCAAATCATTGAACTTGAGGAGGGGGAGATGGAAGTCCCCAGTTAGTAGTTCTTTGCTCGCAGCAGTGTGGCTGGCTGCCTTGCACCTGGCATCCATACTGGGGCAGTGGAGCTGACACTGAACCAGGGTTTGTGCTGACCCTGGTGGTGTCAGAATTAACTGTTGAATGACCAGTGGTTTTGGAGAATGGATTGGTGTTCATCAGACTCACGTTTTAGGTGTCAAAAGGGGTTTCAGGGAAAAGGCCTCATAGGTGAGGGCCCTCATGTGCCTGATGGTGGGTGCTTGGGTGTCAGTGAGAACTGAGGTCCTGCAGGATGGAACATTTCACTCTGGGGAGAGGAGAGCACAGTTACCTTCCAGAACCAAATGTCCAGCTGCTCAGGTTTCCTCATTTCCTAGGAGGAGCCACCTAGGCTGCATCCACTGTGAGAGTTGTCCCCATGCTTGGGAATGTGTTTAGCTACCAAGCAGGGTTCCTGGAGAACTGGGGGTGACAGGCTGCTTATCTGAGCTTGCTTCTGATGTAGCCTTTATCAACTCTTACTGCCACAAAATTCCAGTTTTCCCCCAAGTACTTAGGAACCTTTTTTTCCCCCCTCTAGGGTACTGGGGATTGAATTCAGGGGCACTCAAACATTGATTGACATCCTCATCACCTTTAAAAATATATTTTTTTTTTTTTTTATTTTTTGATTTAGACACAGAGTCTCACTGAGTTGCTTAGTGCCTCCCTTTTGCTGAGGCCAACTTTAACTCATGATCTCCTGCCTCAGCCTCAATAGCTTCTGGGATTATAGGTGTGCCCTACCATGCCTGGCCAGGAATTTAATTTCTTCATTGAACTTAGTATTTTTATGTTCTTGGTTAACATTTATTTGGATAGAGTAATTTGATGTAAAGAAGAACTGAGAGTTCTTGATATAATTGTGTGTGTGTGTGTGTGTGTGTGTGTGTGGTGCTGGTGGGGATTCAAACTAAGGCCTCATGCATGTGAGGCAAGCACTCTACCAACTGAGCTGTATCCCCAGCCCTTTGAAATATATTTTTAATGCTCAGTGTAGTCAGATTCTAAACTCCCATATATCCCCACCCAAACAGAGATGACTTGGCCCTGGGCAGGCTGCCCTGGTCTCTGCTACCTCTGCCTGAAGGTGCGGACAGTGCCGATTCTTTCTATCATTCCTGGTTGTTTACCCATGTGTGAGGAAGCAGAATGTTACTTGGTTTTGTCTTATTTGAGTTTTCAATAACTTTGTGTTGCCATTAGTACTCTATTACTGTGGGACCGTAACATGTAGTATGTGGTCTCTGTCTCAGTTGATTAGACTCATGTTGCTGTTTTAGGCTGTGTTTCTCCCAGGTCCCTCCACTGTTTTTGCTTTGGGACCCTGACTTGTTTTGAGTGTAATTTTTATGTTCTTGATAATTCCATTCTTTTTAAAAAATTTGGCCCCTAAGTATGCACACTTTATGTTGTACACATTGGGAAATCATCAGGCTATTGATTATGGATAAACTACATTGCACTGTATGGATCAGCTCTCTGGCCTTTAATCCTTGTGTGTATATCTCTAATACATGTCTGTTCTTGTTTACTTCCATGTGGATGTACATTGCTTTTTACTGAATACTATTTCTATGAGCATTTTTTTTGTGTATTTTCATGTTCTTGGAAAGGTTTTCAGTAATTTTCTAAAATGTAATTCAGTTAAAACTCAATTCAAATTTAATTCGTTTGTGAGGTAATTTCTTCTTTCCTTTAATATTCCCTCAACATGAATTTATTTTTCTTTGTAAAGACTGCAGACATTTCCCCTGATGTAGGGCAACCTTCTTGTACCCTTTTGTTGTTTCATGCAGGAGCCTCATTTTTCATAGATGTGAGTGTATCAATCTCTTCCTTTGGAATTTCTTTGTCTTCTTATTCAGAAAACCTATAGGACAGGGGGCATGATGGGTTTCAAGAGAGAAATACTTAGTTGTCCCCTCCTGGCCACCAGGGAATGAGCCCTCTAGGGGCCAGCTGTCAGAGCCTGGCTCCCAACTTGGGAATATGCTTACCTCTCTGCAAGTGGGTTTTCATTCTGTACTGTGGGTGAAGCAGTCTCCTTACATGAGGTGGTTCAAGGGCTTGCTTTTCCATTCATTGAATTCTTTTTTATTATTGCCATATAATTAGTTTTTCATGCACTTATTAATTGTATTTCCTGATTGTCTTTTTATTTTCTTGGGTGAAAAAGAGTTGATTGAGAGTGAAAGTGTGAGGAGGCCTTAGCCATGCAGCCTTGGCTTCTTCTCAAGTGATAGATGCCTGTCTCCCTCCCTTCCATTCTGGCCAGACCTGGCACCTACCTTCTCTGAGGTCAGGGTTGGCTGCCTTGAACACCAAGGCTGTAATTCCTCACACATGCTTGTGTTTCTGTGCCCAGAGGAGCAGGAAGACAACAGAGCCGGCTGTGGAGAGCTGTCTCAGCCCTGCCTAAGTGGAAATGTCCCTCTGATGGGGCAGGTCCCCTTGCAGGGAGGAAATGCTGTCTGAAAAGGACTTTTGCCAAGACTCTGTCCTTCTGGCCTATTTACCCAGGACTCGGCTACATCTCCTGTCACTCAGGGCCCCAAGTTTGTATATGTGGCTGGGGTATGCAGGGGTCTTATGAACCCTGGGCAGGTAGCAGGCAGCTGGTGGGAGGGGGTGGTCTTCCACAGTCTCAGAGGCCTTCATCTCTCACCCTGTGCATCTCCAGGACTGTGTCTTCTCTGCTGCATGAGGCCCAAGTGGCTGTGTCTCAGATCTGTCTCCCTGTGACCTACACCTGCTGAGATCCATAGGAAGGATGTCTGGACTCCTCAGAAGGCAGGAAGTGGTGAGTGTGTGGGGCCAAGTCAGATCACAGGGGTGGGGGGTGGGGGAAGGTGGGCTGTTTAGAACTGGTGGGAACCATCTGTGGCTGGACTCTGGCCTCCCAACTGTCAGCTCCAGAGTCAGATGCTGCTATAGCTCATCCCTTGATGCCTTCAGCTTATGGTATGGGCTGGTCCATGGTGGGTTCCCAGTGTGCTGCCTGGTCTGCCTGATCTTTGGAAGAACCCTCTATGCCCAGCTGGACCTCAGTCCCAGCCCCTTAGTGTGCAGTGAAGGTAGAGGACCTCATGGATCCTGCCTCGGGTGTGGGTCTCCTGTGTGAAGGATGCTGGTTTGAGGGGTCCCTGTCCTTCCTTCCCCAAAAGTCACCCTGCTTTCCCCCATCTAGGGCCTGCTAGGGCTCTCAGTAGATCTTCAAAATTTCTGCTCTTTGATGACATTGCTGGAATCCACATTCTTCTCCAGCTCACAGCATTATCAACTTTCTGCTCCTCACACTACATTCAAGTGGGCACAGCCTCAAAGATGTGTCTTCTGTTGATGAGTTTGCCCTGTGGTGAGAGCAGTGCAGAGTCACCCGGAGCTCCACTGTGAAACAACTTCCTGTCTCTCTTCCTTTACCTTCCCCACCAGAGATGCCAGGATGTCTTTGTGTAGGAGTTTCTTTTGTACTCTTCTGGGGTCCTGTTTCTTTAGCCACTGTCCTGTCCTTTTCTGGGGCTACCTCTGGGTACCAAAAGCTGTCCTGTGTCCTGCAGGGTACAGGGAATTTTAGGCCCTGGGTCACCTCCTTCTAAAGGGCAACCTGAGGTATGGGGTACAGACTCTCAGGAGAGTAGCTGGGGGCCCATTGGCTGAGGAATGTGCTAGAACAGCCTCATCTAGACAGATCCCTCCTAGCGATATTGTCTCCCCCAAGCCCTGTTCCCATCCCTTGGAGACAGGTGGACAGTGAGCCTGTGGATGCTGGTGCTGAGGGGCCAGGTCAGCAGTGATTCCTGCCCTTGCATTCTCTCACAGTTGTGTAGGAGGAAAACTCTTCCAGAGCATAAGGACCACCCACTCCAGTGCAGTGCTGTGCAAACCTGAAAAGCCTCATAGACTGGAGTCATGGTCCAGGTCTCCTGGATCATGGAGTGTTTCAGTGAGCAGGACCAGGTGGGAGGATGCCCAGCTCATAGGGACCTTACCTGCTCCTTGAGCTTGAGACATCTGTGCTCCCTCAGCCCCAGCCTTTTCTGTGTTCCTCACTTTGAAATGAATGCTTCCTTATTTGAGACTCAGGTTTTCCTTAAATGTGAAATGTATTTATTCAGGGGTGAGCAAGGTGAAATATTCTTTTTTTTTTTTTGAAAAGTCTTTTCTGTTATCATTTCATTCATTGGACTTATTTTGGGAATTTAAGAAAAAAGTCCCTAATAGGCTATGGTGTCTTTTTCATGTCCTTTGTGGTATTGAGTGTCATACCCAGGGCATTGCTTACACTGGTATTTTCTCAAATTATACCCTTCTTTGGCTTTCTATTTTCTTTCTGATTTTATTAGTAGATTAGTTATACATAATATTGGGGTTTGTTTTATTTATTTATCTCCTTGCCAACAGGGAGTGAATGAACTCTTTACCACTGAGCCCCATTGCCAGCCCTTTGTGTTTTTTATTTTGAGGCTGTCTCAGTAAATTGTTTAGGACCTTTCTACTTTGCTGAGGGTCACCTCAAACTTTCATCCTCTGCTTCAGCCTCCTGGGTTGCTAGGATTGCAGCTGTGCACCACTGTGCCTGGCTAATGTTGTGGTTCAGTTTTTACATAACATGCAAGCATGGGATGTAATGTTCTCCACTTCAGATGCCAGTAACTCCTCTTTCTCTCTCCTACTCTCTTCCTGTTTCCTTTCCTCTATGCTACTGGCCTTCCTCCTATTTATTTATAGTTTTTTTTTTTCAAATTAATGCCTTATAGAGAAACATAATGGAATTTTTTGTTATATATTCCTACATGCACACAGCATAATTTGTTCAGTTTTATTCTACTCTTACTCTATTTTCCTGACCCTCCTCCCTTTCTCTCAGTCTCCTTGGTCTACTGTATTGATCTCTCTTCTACTTTCATGAGATCCCTCATACCCCACTTCTTCCCTGATTCTGCTCTAGCTGCCACATATGGGAGAAAACATTCAACAGCTGGCTTTCTGACTCTCACTTTTTGCACTAAGCATGTTGTCTTCCAGTTCCACCCATTTTCATGCCAGTGGCATAAGTTCATTCTTTAGCATTGAGTGAAATTCCATTGTGTTTGTGTACCACATGTTCTTTATCCTTTTATCTGTTGATGGGCACCTGGTTTAGCTCAATACCGTGCATATTGTGGATTGTGATGACTGTCACTGTAGCGTGTTGATGTTACACTGGGCACTCTGGCTGCTCTCTGCAGGATGGTGCTGAGTCCCCAGGTTTGCAGCAAGGACAGGTAAGACTTCCGCAGAGCTTCCAGCCGTGTTTCACTGAGGTGCATCCTGCAGTTATGTGAGATTTGATGCTGTTGTAGCATCACAGTGGTCCTGCAGGTTTTCCTGGGTTTCTATGTGGAGCTGCTCCACTGCTGTTTTGGTGACCTCCTGCTCCCCACAACTGTTGTCATTCGTCATCTACATGGTGTTCCTGGTGTGATTACTGCACCCTTGGTTACTGTTGACTTGAAGTAAGTTTTGTGCTCATGACGTGCTAGTCAAAGTGCTCTTCTCTTTTTCAAAGTTGTTTGCTATTCTCGGTCCCTTGCAATGTCATATGATGTTTTCAATTTCTAAAAAGAAATCTTCACTTAGTGCCGCAGTCTGGCTGGGCACAAAATCACGAGCCACTCAAGCAGGAACAAACTTTATTTTTTGAAACTGCCGCCAATGTCCAGTACGCGCCCGGGAAGATCTTTCAATCCACCCTCGCGGCCTCCTCCCGGAACCGGCAGAGAGAGCTCCTCCCCTAGAACTCCCTCCTACTGTACTTCCCCAACCAATGGGAACTCTCCAGGAGTCCCATAGCAGGCCTAGGTGAACAGCAGGAGTCCAATATCCATATGAATGCAAATCTTAACATAATCATATCATCTCAATGGCTAGCTGGCATCACCTTTCAACCAAAAATGCCATGCATCATATACTTGGCTCTTAGCAACTTAGGATTTCATTGGTAAATAGAATCTGTAGATTCTTTTGAAGGTATCACCACATTAATAATGTTAAAACTTTGGTCCATGAGCATGGGATGGTTTTTCTTTTGTTTGCATCTTGAGCTTCTTCCAACAAGTGTTGCGATTTAGGAAATAAGTTTTATACTTTTTTGTTGTGTTAGTTATTATGTATGTATTGTATGTTCTTATGTTATTATTCTATATTTATTCTTGTGGTGCTATTGTAAATGAAGTTTTGTGTTAATTGCATTTCAGTATTTCATGTGTACAGAAGTTGACTTTTTTTATTTTAAATTGATTTTTATTGAAATTTGTGTATTAATTTTTCACTGCTGACCTTGGGAACAGATCTACCTCTTGGGTGTTTACAGGTTTTCAAAATCATTTATATTTATATTTATATTTCTACTGTAAACTTTGCAGTAAAGGATTTCATGAGAGCCTCCATTGTGAAATCACTTGGATTACCCCAACTTTGTGAAGTGATTTGGGATCCTGGAGCCACAGTGTGACATGGGAGATGGGCTTGGTCACTTAAACCTGTGAAAGTTGAGTGGATGTGAGCTGTGAGGACATTTGTGGGAGGCCTCCCTCTGTGCCTTTGTGTGTGTCAGAGCCCCACCACTTCTGAGGTACTGATCTCCACCCTGTAGCAGGCTTTCTGGTAGGCACTGCAGTGATGAAAGCCCATCCGATGTCCCCTTCCACTTGCAGTAGAGGTTTTAGGGAGCAGGAATCCAGCAAAACCAGTCAGTTGGGCACCATGTCTGGTGTTCGCTGTTGATGGGGAGAGAGGTGGTGCAGGGCGCAGAGTGTGCTGTCTCCTCCCGTCTTGGTGCCTGTGGCTGCTGTGTCTTCTGGTGAGTGTGTCTGGGTCTGAGCCTGAGCCTGTGCCCAACTCTGTGTGCTTGGCGAAGTCCTTGATTTTGCTCAGTGTCTGGGGCTGTGTGAGTTGGCCCTGAGGTCTGGAATACCTTGGTGTTCTTCCTGGCTTCCCTGGGAGCACCTCTGCTGTGTTGTCAGAAGTGGTGAGAGCAGCCTTCCTTGACTTTTTCTTTTTGTCACGGTGAGAGTCTTTCATCCTGCAGTGGAGCCTCACATTTTCTAGATCCCTGTGGCTTTCTTCAGGGTGTTGTATTCTTTGCTAGGTATGTGTGTGTTTATGTCCTGAAGATGGGTTGAGCTTTGTCAGCGACTTGTTCTTCATTCATTCCAGGTATTAACACCTCTCCAGAGGCTCGATGCACAGGTATTTTCTACAATTCCTTGGGGTGCCATTTTAATCTTCAGATGGTGTCCATGGAGGACACCATTTTTCCTTTCTATGCTGATGCACTTTTAAGTTACACATATGGACGAGGAGCAGTGAGCTAGTCGCGCACCTGTTCCAGTGTGCCATGATCAGATCAGGGCGTCAGCTCTTCCATCTGTTAACATCTGCCATTTCTTGGTGTCTGTGGACTGCTCCCCAGCTGAATTATGAAAACCACAGTGGCATACTGTACACCATGGCTACCCTACTGTGCCAGAGAGCGGAAGTGCTGGCTCCTCTGTCACCTGAGACCCAGCCTCCTCCCCCAGCCCTGCTGTACCCTCTCCTCTCTTCCTCACATCTGGTGAGTACTCAGTGCTTTCTGTGACATCAGCTGGCAGCTTCCCTGTGTGAGGACACGCAGTGTGTCCCTCTGTGCTGCCTTCTTCCACTTAGCATGGCATCCGTAGTTCCAGCCTCATTGCTGCAATGACAGGACTAAAGGTATTTTTGGTGAAATTAAGTTTACCTATTCTTTCATGAATCTTATAGATGGTATAATATCCC